TTCAAATCCTGGTTCTGGGAATTTGGGGCGTGAACCAGTGGAGGAGAGCACTCTCTCTCTCTTACAAATAAATCAATTAAAATTTTTAAAAGGACAAGTGGGACCTTCCGTGTGCTCCACTTATTCGTTTTAAACTGATTGCCCTAGCCTTGAATGTACACTAATAGAAATCAGCTTCCATCCAACGATGTTGTCATCAGAAAATGGCCTACAAAGGGTCTCTAGCACCTGAAATTAGTTGCTACTAGTACATGACAACCTTAACAGCAGGGCCTAAGATACACTTACCCTTGAAAGTGGTAATGCTGCTTATCATCCATTGCACCAGAGAGTATAATGTTTTCATCCTCAAAAATGGATTTCTAAAATTAAGTGCAATATGTAAAGTACTGAATGTTGACTAAGGTTGACACTGCTAAGCCATCACATAAATCTCATAGTAAAGAAAATGTAATGCTTATCATTGCAGTTTCACTGAGAAAAAAAAATGAGGGACACTACTAAAAGATTGTAATATTTTCTTTATTGATACATCAGACACATCTTATTAGTTTCAATACTTGAAACATGACACTTCTTGGATGACGTCATCAGCTTGAGACTAAGGATAGAACACAGAACCAAGATCAAGCAGTACAGGATATACCTGCAGCACCAGCACACACACACACATACACACACACACACACACACACACACACACACACACACACACATCAGGTGCTACCTACATTTGCAAAGAACTGTTGCGAGCAACTTAATGAAATTCACAGAGAATTGACACTGGGTTTGCTTTTTGGTTTTTATTATTATTGTTATATTATTTATTAAAGGCTTTGGAATGTCTAGAAATTAAAACAGTTTCTGACTTTAAACTCTAGGCTCACATTCTGTGTAACAGCTACATGGACAGTTCAGAGAGTCTTAAGTGGATGGACTATTGAAACTAGAGCGTGCAGCTAATGTGTGTAGTTGTCACTGGGATTCTGATTGGGGCGTTAATCTAATGTCTGACCTAAAACACGCTTGAATCTAAAGTACACTCATCAAAAGCATTTGTATGGAGCAGAGTGTAGTAACATAGTCAACACCGTTTACTTAAGCCAAACTCATGATAAAGTATTTTGGTCACTGCACTGGTTGAGAACAGTCTAATCTGGTGAATGTGTCATCAAGAAGTGGTGAGACGGGGTGCCACTTGGTGCCTAGAGAAAGGCTGAGTGAAATTCATGGCTGACTGAGGCAGGCAAGGATGGTATGAAGGTGTCCAGCCTGGGTTGGATGAGTTATCTGTGCAGTGGACTGGCCATCCTGAAGGAGCGGCTCACCATGTCTGGTGTTCCAAGCTGATGGTGATGAATGGACTACGTTTGCTATGCAGCACAAATTGTATGTCCCAATCTCAGTGAAAGGTTTATCGAAAAGCTCCTGTGCAGTATCTGGCTATGCCTGTGGCTGGATGCCAGCTAGCAGAGTGAGCTTCCACCAGCACTATTAACAGCTGGGAAAGCGCTCAGCATAGCACATGTGCCTTGTGTGTTCTGTGAATGTCTGGGGATGCTGTCTGCAGAGACTTCTCTCGAATTCATTTGAGAGTTACTTGCTTGCCTATAAGAGTGTTCAACTAGTAAGCACTGCTAATGATTCAGTGGTTCTGAGGAGAATATTGGGGTATCCAGAGGAAGGCTCTTTCATGAGCTAAGAGCTTTCTATATCTTTGTATATTCATCTCTTTTTCTTCCTTTACTGCAAAGTACAGGAGACCCTCAGCACTCATGTCCGTGTGTGTATGGCCATATCCCCCTATGTCTGCATAGCTCTTTTCCTGTTTCTAGCATGATGTCTACCTTATTGATCATGCTTCTCTGGAGCTTGAATGACGCTGCCCAGGGAGACATCTGGCCATGTCTGAACACAGCTTTGCTGGTCAAGGTAGGAGAAAGGTGCTGTTGCCTTATGGCAGATGGACGCTGAGATGCTTCCAAACATCCTACTATGCGTCATGGGACAGCCACCCACAGCCCAGCAGGTAAAACTCCAAATGTCAATGATACCGAGGTTGTGCTAAAGGAATTTTAAAAAGAAAGTACGTCATTTGTTCTTTAACCGCATGGTCATGAACACTTTCTTCAGATTTCATGATTTTTTTTCTTTATAATTTTCTGAAAGATTGATTTAAGTACTTATCTGAAAGGCAGAGTCACAGAAAGAGAGAGATCTCCCATTTGTTACTTTACTCCCCAAGTGGCCACAAAAGCTGGGGCCAGTCAGATCAAAGCCAGGAGCATGGAAGCCCATCAGGATCTCCCACAGGAGTGGTAGGGCCCTACTTGAGCCATCTGCTGCTTTCCCAGTCACATGAGCAGAGAGCTAGATCAGAAGTGGAGCAAATGGAATTCAAAGTGATGCTCATATGGGATGCCAGTGTCATATGTGGCTTAAGCTTCTGTAATACAAAGCTGGTCCCTTGCTATTTTTTTCTTATTTGAGAGGTAGAAAGGAGAGTGAGAGAGGGAGGCGGGGCGGGGGGGAAGAGAGAGAGAGAGCCCTTTCATTTACTGGTTCACTCCCTAGATACCCGCAATGGTCAGGGCTGGGCCAGCCAGGCCAAAGCTGGAAGCTAGGGACTGAATCCTTCCCACATGCTGGGAAGGGCCCACTGCTTGAGCCATCACCTGCTGCCTCCCAGGCTGCATATCAGCAAGAAGCTGTTATCAGGAGCAGAGCTGGAACCAGACTGAGGCACCTGATATGGGACGTGGGTGGCTAACCCAACCAGCATCTTCGGCACTAGGACAAATGCCCAGCCTTATGAGCACTCTAGCTTGGAATCTGATGAATTTCTAGAAGATGTTTTAGAGTCAGTGTATTGTTTAGATCTTAATGGAGGCTTTTTCTTTTTAAATCAGCTTAGAGAAGGGCTTTGATAGGCTCACAGGGTTCTCACAGAGGCAAAATATTTTCAGCTAGATTGCACTTCATTTTGTGTAGGATGTTTGAAAGCTTGTAACTTGAGAGGTATCAAGAAACAATCGCAATTAGCTGCACCGCACTGAAGTGCAGCAGGTAAAGCCACCACTTAGGATATCCACGTCCCATATCCAGGATGGGGGGACTGCTTTGAGTCCCGGATGCTCTGCTTCTCATCCCGCTTCTTGCCAATGCACTTGGGAAGGCAGTGAGTGGTGACCACAGTGTTTGAGTCCCTATCATCTATGTGGGAGACTCAGACAGAGTTCCTGGCTCCTGGTTCCAGCCTGGTCCAGCTGTGAGAAGTGAGCCAGCCAGCAGATGGAAGATTCATTCTCTCTCTCTCCCTCTCCTCTCTCTCTCTCTCTCCTCTCCACCATTCTATATTTCAGATAGACAAATTCTTTTCATTGCTACATTTCATATCCAATAACCTCTAGGCACAATTGCAGACACTGTCATATCTTACGAAGCCATCTAATCCTCTCTCCACAACCTTATACCTGTCTTTCCTCTTCACTCTATGGGATGCTGCCCTGGAAACTGCTGAGTTTTCAAACCACAGAGCAGACACACCTCTCCAGCATGAGAGGGCAAACTGACAGGAGGGTAGCCAGGAGCATCTCCAGGCACGTGTGACCACGTGACAGCACACAGGCTCTGCATCCTCCCTGGATTTGATCAGTCACTCAAAAGGATTTCCAAGTTAGCTCTACAAACACCCGATCCCCTAGCTCATTCATCCAGAGAAGGAACCAGATTTTCCTTGAGTTACCTAATGGAAGGGAAGTGACAGTTAGCATCCCTGTCATTTCCTTGCTGCTTCCAGCTTGGGAGGTTCCAGTTCAGCTCCAAGTTAGCTAACCATTTCTCACAAATCTGTGTCGGGATGGGGTCTGGGCAAGTCTCTTTTTGAAAGAGAATTTTACATTAGGGGCACCAGCCACCATCACCCTCCAGAATCTAAAAGGTCCCATGAGTATATGCCGTTTGGCGGACTCAGAGCATGTTCAGGTTAGTGTGTGAGCAAAGTAGCTGAGTGACGTCACCCAGGCCTGTTTGCCAGTGTCCACGCAGCGGAAGGAAGCAGGACTCGCAGGTCAGGGCCTGTTGGGTAGGGATGTCTCATTCTGTTTCATCAGCCAGGATGCAGCATCCCCGGCAGCATGACTTAGGGACTGATGTGGAGATTTCGTACGTCTTCGCTCACATGAAAGCTGTGTGTTTTTTGTAGGCACTTTAAATAGAGGGTTACAAGGAATGCAAACTCCAAATACCACCTTGCAATGTACACGCTCCTTCTCTGTATGTCTGTTGGAGAAACCATTGCTGTCCACAGCTTCACACCGGTGCCCTTGCTGTGTTCCTGTTGAGCTTTATTTTTTCTTAAAGATTTATTTATTGTTTATTTTTATTACAAAGTCAGATATACAGAGAGGAGGAGACCCGCAATGGCCGGTACTGCGCCATCTGAAGCCGGGAACCAGGAACTTCCTCCAGGTCTCCCACATGGGTGCAGGGTCCCAAGGCTTTGCGCCGTTTTCGACTGCTTTCCCAGGCCACAAGCAGGGAGCTGGATGGGAGGGAAGTGGAGCTGCCGGGATTAGAACAGGCGTCCATATGGGATCCTGGTGCGTTCAAGGTGAGGACTTTAGCCGCTAAGCCACGCCGCCAGGCCCCTCCTGTTGAGCTTTAAAGTGTTTCTTTCTTTGGAGAAGAGTGTGTGTGTGTGTGTGTGAGAGAGAGAGAGAGAGAGAGAGAGAGACTCCCTCTGCCAAACATGATGATCTTGAGCTTTTTGCAAATATACCTATAAAACCCCAGGGATTATTCCAGATGCCAGGATGGGAGGAGGGGACTCTGAGATGATCCTTAACTCTGTGGGGAAGTGAAACCGCACCCCTTTCTGACCCGACCACGCACTGATATTCAGTGAGCGGGGAAGCGGAAGGCGCACGGTCGCATGGGTCCCTGGCTTCAACCACAGAGGTGGAAAGGAAAGAACAGCCCTCCCTCCCGTGGCCCAGCATCTAAGTCATGATCTCCTCGAAGTCAGAGAGCTGCTTCATCTGCTCAATCTGCATCGAGTGCCTCCTGAACAGTTTCTTTTTATTTCTCAAGTCGACTCTTTTGGGTGAACTTGGAGCAACTGGGATCATGGACTTCAAGCCTGTGGCCAGTGGGGAAGCGGCTTTGCTGCCTGATCTAATATCCGGGATAGGAGGGTTCGGATTCACGTTCAGAGGCGGAAGAAAACCGGGCCTGGTCTGAGAGATGTGGTCCAGAAGCAGGGTCCCAGAGCCGCGTCTTTCTAGCAGGTGTGGAGGCCGCCGACGCGTGGCGGTGGGAGACGTGCTGGGGGCCGCATCGAGGGATAGGTGGGAGCTGGTGACCTTCTTTCTGTCTACCAGTCCTTTGCCTGGGTCGAGTGGCTCGGCCCCTGCTTGTAAATCCAAATTGTAGAGGTCGTTTTCCAAGCGTTTGAGCGAGGCCGGCTCCTTGAGAGCACAGGGTCCTATGGCACCTTTCTCTGGGTCAGCGGGCAGCGTTCCCCGTCTGGCCAGGCGTGGGTGGGGAGCCTGACCTTTCCAAGATGCTGGAGCTGAGGAGGCTGGAATCTTCAGCACCTGCTCCGTGACGGTGAGGAGCAGCGCGGGGTCCTTGCTGTCGATGCTGTTGGTCCTGGACAGGGGCCCCCTCTTCGAGAAGGACACGTCGCCGATGCTGTCGGTGCCAGTGCAGTGCAGCTCATCCTGCCGAGCGGAGGCTGCCAACACGGAGGGCGCGACCAGGCCCCAGGGTTCAGACTGTAGCCTCTTGAGCTGGGGCAAACGGGCCCGTTTGAGGTTGCCCACTTTCCTGCTGGGGGACCCGGGCTCTGGAAGGGCCTTGGCGGCACTGCAGCCACTTGGATGGCTGAAGAAGTCATCTTCCTTTTCTCCGGGGGCAGAGCCAAGACCCGCAGCTGCCAGTTCGACCTCAGAGGGAGATGCGCATAGTGGAGGCGACTGCCTGTCTTCCACTTTGGGGGAGGGAGGAACGTTGAGATATTGCTTGGTGGTTTTGGTGCCCGAGGACGATTTGTCGGTCGTTATAATGATCACCTCCTTCCCTTTGGCTTTGCAAGCAGCAAGGAGATGCTTCAAGGCGTCTTTGTCCTCGGCATTGATGGCGTAAACCAGAGCAGACGCCCCGGTGCGGTCCTCCAGGCTGGGGTCTGCGCCGTTCTCCAACAGCAGCGAGACCACGTCTCCGCCTGCTCTCCGGATGCAGGCGTGGATGAGCGCCGTCTTGCCCGACTTATCCTGGATGTTGGGGTCAGCCCTGTTGTCCAGCAGGTACTTGACCATCTTGGACTTGCTGATGCTCTGCTGGTCCACGTGCTGCGTGATGCAAGCCACCATGAGCGCCGTTTCTCCTTTCTCGTTGCTCTCATTGATGTAAGCGCCTCCTTCCAGGAGGAGCCTGGTCAGCCGGAGCCTGCCCAGCCACACGGCCTTCAAAAGGGAGTTCCCATCCGTCCTCAACTCGGTGTCATCGTCCATCATCCTGGCCACAGCCTCACGTCTCGGAGCCACAGTGGCCGTCAGACCTAGCAAGGTGAGAAGAGAGGAGACAGGTCACGCGCTGCCATCGCCCAGCCCGACCCCACGGCACGTCGCCTTGGCCTAGGCATCTGTGGCATCTTGGAGTTAGTTTCTCCCTCTGGAATGTGTGTGTTGGAGCAGGCAGTGAGGGGTACAGTAGCAACGGACCTTACAGAGTTATTGTGAAGACTGCAGGAGACAATATTTAACCAACATTCAACCTCGTGGAAGCATTTGTCTACGGCCTGGTGCACAGCCAGTATTCACAAGCACAAGATAACATTTGTGCTGACTGCACAATTCTTAACACAGTCATGAGGCTGTATGCTTGGTCATCGCTGTGTGCTCAGCATTTGTTTATGATTCACCACAATGAATAGGTTACTGGACCACACAATGTTGTTACCGTGGTGCATCCAAATGGCCAGTAGGAGATCCATAAAAATACTAATCCTCACCCTGGATGATGGGATTATAGACGGTTTCGTTTTATTGTTGCTGTTCTCCTAAAATAAATACGCCTCGCTGTTATAACGGGGGAAGCAATTGAATTGGTTCAACCAGATCCACCTGGCAGGTTTTTCTGAGTGCAGTCCCTGCTTTCTCCAGCAGGGGTCAGGATTCTCCTACAACTCTTACTGAACAACCCACTCCATGACCGGTGGTCCTTCCTCCTGACTGAACCAGAAAACTGCTTTTTCTCTGCTCCTAACCATTAAGAAATAAAGCTCAAGCCAGAGTTCCCTCGGCTGCAGCCTGACAAACCTGGGCTACCTGGTTTGGTGCTCCTTTCATTTTCATTGACTCCTTTCATTTTCAGATTCAGGCAAGGAGAAAAGTTCCATCTTAAGGAGAGATTGGTCGGGCACGGTGTGGAGACATTGCTCTGCCTGTGAGTGACACAATGACCTATCTCACACCCAGAAGAGACCCTCCACGCAGACACTTGGGACTTCAGGCTCCTGCTAAGCCGATGGCCCGTGTGATCCACTGGACACAGCCCTCCCTAAGCCTCCTCCTCCTCCTTGGATTCATATCATTCCATCTTACTCTGCTACCTAGAGAGGTACATACCTCTGTTAGATTTTTCTTTTTAAAGATTTATTTTTATTATTTTTTTCATTGGAAAGGCGGATATACAGAGAGGAGAGACAGAGAGGAAGATCTTCCGTCCGATGATTCACTCCCCAAGTGAGCGCAACGGGCCGATACTATGCCGATCCGAAGCCAGGAGCCTCTTCCAGGTCTCCCACGCGGGTGCAGGGTCCCAAAGCTTTGGGCCATCCTCGACTGCTTTCCCGGGCCACAAGCAGGGAGCTGGAAGGGAAGCGGGGCTGCCGGGATTAGAACCGGCGCCCATATGGGATCCCGAGGCCCACCTCTGTTAGATTTTAAAGAAGTGAAAGAAGTTGAGAGATGGACACTGTCTGTTCAAAACCACATTTCAAGAGTAGGCATTGGGCACCCTATGTCAGGGACCCCGGGGTTCAAATCCCAGCTCTGCTGTGAATTAGAACTTCCTGTTGTTAATCCAAACTTCCCTGGGAAGCAGGTGTTGTCCCTGCCGTCCACACGGGTGGCTCCTGGCTTCAGCCCAGCCCCGTCCCCAAATCTGAACAAGCCAATGGAAATATTTCTCTCTGTCTCTCTCTCAATAAAATAATTAGAACTTTAGGGAAAAGCTTTAATTTTAAAATAAATGTTAGTATTTATGAATAGAGAGTTGCTATTATTTAAACAAAGTACGCACAAACCACACTGAAGTCCCTGAAAAGAATGATGTCTCCTTGGCTCTCCTCAAGCCCCACGATGCCCCCACCACCTCTTGGAAAGCAGCAGGGTCCAGTCTGTCTTCTCTTGTTACCCCCTGCTTCCTGGGGTCCATTGTTCTGGAAACTACATCTGAATCTGATCTCACACTAGTTATTTACATGCTTCTAATGAACTTTCTGCAAAGGAAAAAAAAAAAACACCAGCTGAAGACACTGGGTCTTCTAATACCTTAACAAAGAGTTCTGTTTTTGTCTCACCTTCTCCCTCCCATATTTTATTGATCTACTTTCTCTGTGTGTTCATGAGAGTAAGAGAGAGAGAGTAAGAGAGAGAGAGAGAGAGAGAGACATTTATCTTGCTTTCTTCCCCATCATTTTCATCATTTGGACCCTTACGCAGCCAAGGGTGATTGTGTTAAATTCCCCTGCACAGAGCAGCTGTCCATCTCCGAGCCTTGTAGGATTTCCAAGCGGAACAGATGAATGTGGAAGTGCAGGGAAACCCGCTTCTGTGCATCCCCAGGGACCTTCATCTCCCCGATCTTCCCACCTCCAACGCCATCCTTGCTATTCCGGTCTTCTCCATGCTGGATCTGCCTTCAAGTCGCCTTAGTTCCCAAATACACCACATTTTTTTAAAATATCCTCTTGGCACTACTCATGTTTCCAACTATAAGAACTCCCTGCTCTTCCTTAATTATTCATCACCCGTCAAGCTTCAGCTCAAATGTGACTTCCTTTGTAATCAAGAGGAAAATCACTCAAGATCCGGGAGGGGGGAGGAGAAAAAGGAAGATGACAGTGACTCATAGGGGGACTATATAAAGCTTTCTCATAGATCACTTCCTCTGAGAGAGGGGACACAAATGACCACTGAGCTCGGGAAGAAGCATTTGGTGAAACAGATGACAGCTGAGTGAGGCTGTCTCTCTGGTGAGCTCTGCCCCCTCACCAGAATGGGGGGAATGCCACAGACCACAAGTGGCAAGGCTCTAGGGGGATGGGCAGGGGGAAGGGCCGGCGGGGAGAGCAAGTAGGTGTCCCTGAATTAAATTCCAACCCATTTCTTCCACACCCCCCACTGTATGTCTATGACAGACAACAGCATGGAGTCACAATGAAAAATCAGCCCTGGGATCTGCTTTGACCAAGAAAATACAGCCCGAGTAATTTTGTATGCAAAAATCTGACAGCATCCCAGTTTTCCCTCTTGGTATCCAGCTGCAGAAGCCTTAGTTGCCCCACGAGAAAGAGCACCCAGAGATCAGCACCCTGCCAGGATGGGTTGGGGTGACACCACCTTGGGTGACCTGCTCAGAGCCAGCTCCCCTGCTGACTACAACTGCACGCATAAATCCAGGTAAGCAAGGCGGCCAACACCCAGATCCTGGCTAAAGGTGCAGAAATCAGAGCCAATAGAAACAGTCATGGTCGTTAGCCACCTGTCTGCAGTTGGTCTGCTGACAGCCATAGATTACTAATGACCATGTGAACCAGAAACCCTGGCAGTGCTATTCACAAAAGATAAGCAATGGAAACAACGCATCAAGGAGAAAAATGGGCCCTTGGAGTTGAATGAAAAGACAGGTGTGGTTTAGTCCAAAAAATATCGAGGATTTTTTTTCTTCATAAGCTACATTTTCATGAACTCTTTGAAGACCCCTCATAGCGTATAGAAAGTTTGCAAACTCTCTCTTGAGTTCTTTTTCTTTCTCACGTGCGTGTGCGTTAGTATATACAGATACACCTACAGGCAGCACACCCAAAGGAAAAATGAATGCTTGGCCCTGCACGTTGCTGCGTCCTTGGCAGCATTCTCCGTGGGAGTACCGATCTTGACCATCATCTGGGTCAGCCTCCATCACAGAACCTGTGCTCCTGTAGGCAGAACCACTTCTCCCTCTTCCATTGTACAATGATTGGAAAGTGCAATCAAAGGCAAGCCGAGGGGAAGGGGGAACAGAAGGAAGGAAGGCAGGAGGGCAACCAGAAGATGGGCTCACCCTCAGGTTCACTTACCTCTGGTCTATCTCAACATTACAGGAGGAAGGGAGAGAGGTGGGAGGAACAGGATGCTCCCCCAACCCCTTGCTGTGGAATCAGTGGTCTCTTCCTCCCCCAAGTTCAGGCCTTGTCCCAAATCAACCCCCAGCTCCAGACCCAAGGGAGAGAGCAGAGGTGAAACAAGACAGCCAAGTGCTTTTCCGTGGCCTGGAACACCCAACCCACCCACAACCAGAACACTGCATGTTATCTATTGCCATTCCTTACTGAATTCCTTAGATGACAAAAAAATGCAAGAGCTTGGTTTGAGGACAGAAACCGTAGCTCTTGCCTCACAACCGTAGTTCAGATGAAATGTGCAGGACTAATATTAACTTGGCGTGCTGCCTTTCTCTTGCCCTTTTCATTTCAAGAATGCACAAATCGTTCCAGATTTGTATAGTCTTTTGTACTTCCCCTGTCTCTGACCTCGCTTTGTCCCTTGAGTGGCCTGAGCAAAAGTTGAGGCTTTCTCACTGGTCTTCAGCTCAGGTTACAGCTGCTGTTATGGTGGCAGAGCACTGATCTTGGCCTGAAGATTCTCCAGCAGGTGCCTGGAGAGACTAAGCCCTCCATCTCCAATCTGGATATGAGGAAGAGTTGACTCTGGCAGAGCAGATGTTGGCCAAAAAAGAGGTGGGGGACAAGAAAGAGGTGGAAAAGAGACTTTTCTCCCCCTACCTCATCCAATAGCCTCTCCAAGGAGTAAGAGCTGCAAGAACTTCCACACACCTGGGCACTAACTATGCTGGGCAGAAAGCCAGGAAAAGTATGATACCACTTCCCCTGAGTTTGCTTGTCCTTCCCAGTCTCACTTCCCATTTGCCCTCATTCGCATCGTCCGAAATTGGATAACCTGAACTGGTGGTCACAAGTTTGTGTTGGCCGTACACTGGTGCCAACGGCATTCCCTCGGCCATCACTGAATGCCCCTTTGAGGAAAGTTTCTCTCCCACATAAAGAAACTGAAAATACCTGTGCCTCTGAACTGTTTGCAGGACCTAAGGGACTAAGAACTCTGGAGGTGAGACCCCATCATTTCTGGGTCAGTCATGTGTGCAAAGAAGAGGAAGCAACTGATATTGGAGAGAGAAGAATGAGGGAGCACGTGGAAAAGCTGAGAGGCATGGAGTCCTCTCTGAGTTT